TTGTTTTAATTGTGATGGATCATGAGTATTTACTTTCTCTCCAACTGTGCAATCACTGTGATAAGCCTGTATCAAATGGTCTGCTCTGCTGTTCCCCAGAGGTGTCAGTCTGCTTAAGAGTGGGGCTTCCTTTATTCAATGTGTGCCTTGTAAGTCTTTGAGGTTTCTCCAGTGTTGAATCCTCAGCCTACTGACAGCACAGAGGCACTGAGCTCTCCACAGAAAGTGGAGAGCTCTTCCCAAGTCAAAGAGTCCAGAGAAATTGGTACCTGCTGTCTGATGCAGAGGTCAGATTCTTGCAGATCCTTGTAAACTAGCAACCTTATAAAGCAGGGACCAACTGATACTTTCTCAGTAAGAAAGGTGGCCTATCCCTTTCCAGCCAGTGGGGAATATGCTGCCATATACTTATCGAGCCATGCTACTTCATCTCTAAGAGAACATAACAGAAAGGGATGTATTTTTCACACTTTTTCCTCTTTGAGAAGAAAAAGAAAAATCTGGGCAAGGAATTGTAGAAATTATTATCATCATGTGTTTCTAACTCTCAGGTATGTGATGGGTATTTCAGGCAGTTTTCTCCTCACTGAGGAGAGACCAAAGGGCAGATATGGGGTCATGTGAAATCATTTTACTTCCCTAGCAGTGGTGCTACAGCTACAGCTTTGATTAACATGGCTACATAAGGCTGTTGTACAGCTGTTTAGTACACACCACGTCTCACCAGCTGCTGATTCCTGAGGCTTGGTACTACCTGTGCCTTATAAGGCCAGAATTGGAGAACGTATGGAAAGCTCCTTTGTGTTATAGTATTGTGCCTTCCAAGCTGAGTTGGCCTTGGGTAGGCAGAAGACAGAAAAGGGGCTTGGTGGCAGGATGTGGAGGATGCCAGGTTGTCTTGGAGTTTTGAAATGGATCTATTCTTTGCTGCCATTTCTATCAACCTGTGTTTAAACAACTTTTAAAGCTGTGTTTCCTGCTTGTTTTTAGAAGATGAAGCTAGTTGGTTTATACACACCCAGTGAGATGGAACTATGTGTGTTACTTATTCTTTCGATTTACTTACTCATGCAGAGGTGAAACCACAAGAATGAGCCATGACCGGATGGGTCCAGTCACTATGGATCCACAGAAGGTATTGACCCTTACCCTGATGCTGTTATAGTTTATATGCAACTGAGTTGATTTCTATGAGAAAAGGATGATTTGCCACATAGTGTTTGAAACACTTTAAGATTCTATCAGTTTTGTAAAAATATATGGAATTATCAGTGGAGAATATGATGCCTGGCTGTGCAACACCCTGGGTGATTACTAGGGCTTGACTGTGAGAAATGATTTAGACCATGGTAGTGCAGTCTGAAATTCTGAAGGGAGCATAAGCAAAGCAGTTCCATAATTCCCCCACAGTTACAGAAGGAATGCCATTAAAAAAATTAACTTTGTTGCAAAATTAAATTTTAAATGCAGAATGCAATGAGGCAGTGTCCCTAACAGAGGCCAGAAAGGTCATAGCCATTGATGCCAGAAAGATCATAGCCATTGATTTTTATTTTTCTTCATGGGATGTTGCCATCTGAGAATAATGTCATGTCCTAAGTTGAATTCTGAAATAGGGAGTTTGCAAGTGCATTTAATCAATCTGTAATTATTGACTTGGCTTCAGATAGGAAACTATGGTCAGTGAAATGACAGGCTGGCTATACTTTCTCTTCTCCTCTCAGGACCTAAGGAGAGGCCATGATAACCCAAGATTGTTGCTTGGATCTGTCCCAAGGATGCTTTTTGCAGTGACTGCTCTAGCTTCAATAATTCCTGCATTGTAATATGGGACAAAACCCCCTGATTTCTTGTTGTCATACATGTTCTGTTCACTTGCTTGAACCCTTGGAGAGAAAATTCCTCCAATACAGCAACTGGCAGGTGTCCAAAGTGGATTATAGCCAGAACCACTACCCCAAGAGAGTATCTGTTCTTTCTGGGAAACAGCAAATGCACATCAATCAGAAAAGCACACACAAAAGGCATCCCATAAAATGTTAGTAGACCTGACCATAGATTTAGCTTTCTGGCCTTGCAACAAATTTAACTATATTAAGTAGGAAAATGATATCCCCACCCAGTAGATTCTGATGATGTCTCTTGGTCCTCTTCTTCTGGTCTTCTCGGTGTTGCAGACTGCATCTGTCAAATGGTGGGGGGAAGGAGTCCACACAACTCCTGTTTCATGGGGTTTATATTGTGTGGAAATTAAGTGGAAGCGCCCCCTGTACCTCCCCTGGATGATGTAATAGTGGATCACTGGACATTTCATGAGTCTTTGACACCTTCCCAGATATTGCAACTGTCTCTTACTTCAGCATAGTTGAATCAATCACGGCCCATTATGGTCCCTCATGGGAGATGAATAGCTCAGGCTTGGTGTGAACGTCTTGGGTGCTCCCCAGAGGGGTTTTCACAGCTGAGTCATCATGTAAGAGAGGACACTGGCATGATAAGAAGGACTATCCCACCTTGCAGAATTTGCCTCTTATCAGCCTCTTCTCTTATCTGGAAATCCAGTTTGTAGCTTCAGGTATGCACACCCTTTTGCACCTGGGATAGTTGGACAATAGTACCACCCTATCTTATCTCAGGGTCCTCTCCTAGTCAAGATTCATAAGCATATCTAGGGATGGATGGCCTTCAGTTAATGAGCAGCTGTTTCTTTGCAGTTACAGCGGACAAAAGTTTTTTGGTGATCTTAACAATGTTTCAGCCCTTAACCATTTCAGTATCTCACAACACTTTAAGGCAAAAATGAAGAAAGAGTTCCTGAAACATGTAGTGAAAAGATGAGTCTTGCAAACATGCAGAATTGGCATAAAGAGTGGGAAGAAAATAAACCCACTTATACTGTAAGAAAGTCATAAGGGAAAGGAATAGTAGATTCTTCAGTAGATTAGAAGGATGATATTAGCTAAGGATATCACTATATCTTTTTCAACTCACATGGATAAAACATCAAAGAGAAAAGACTAAATATATGAGATCAGCTTTTACAAAAGACAGGGAAGAGCTCCCAGTAATCAATGCAATTGCTAATAAAGTAGCCCAAACAAATGCATTTAGGCTTTTATTAAACATCAGCTTGTGTTTGCACATAGACAATATGGACAAAAGGATCCCTAGGTTAAGAATCTGGGATCTGCGGTAAAGGGAAATGGCTCCAGTGAGATATTCTGAGTCTCTTTCTATGGAGCAGTCATCTTCAAACTGTTTTGATCCAATATCCTTATCAGTAAAAAAATTGTTGAGCATGCTTGACCAAGCCTGGCCCCTTGGAGTCAGTTTTTGAATCTGCTAGGCTCTGAAGGATTTGCCTGATTTTCTGAGCTGATGCATACTCCTTGCTTCAGCTGGATGAAATCTAGGATGGGCTACTCTCTGCTGGAGACACCATAAGGCCTAGGGAGGCACTAGGGAACAAGACAAGTTAACTAGTAAGACTGATGTTTTCAGAGAAAATTCAGCTTTCAGTGCTTAGATGCCCACTACTTTAATTGATTATGAAAGCCCCCTGCATTTGTTAAGGGTGGATGTTTGATAAGAAGTATTTTCACTGTTCTTGGAGTCTATGGAGAAATGAAAATTATTTAGTGTAACAGATACAGTTTAGACACAAAAGTAACCATTTTTTGAAAGTAGTATTTCCATCTGGTTGTAAATGAGGTATCAAACCTTTCATTAGAATACTATTTGTGACCTAAATTATGAAATTGTGATCTGAGAAAGAATAGCAGCATTCTGTTGACTGTTAAAGGTTTGACAGTTTAGGATACAGAATGAAGAAATTTTTGGAAGCTGGAAATTCTTATCTCTGGTTCTAGTCTTAGAAGTGTATAATTCATAATTTTTCAATATGATTTGAAAAATGCACTACTTCATGGGTTTTTTTCTGTTTAATCAAAGTCATGTCTTTTTGAGTTGTGTGGTGGTATTTTTAATATTTAGCAATAACATGATTTCATTTTAACTGCCAGCTATGTGAAAAGTGCATCTAAATGATTTCAAGGAATCCCTTTTAGCTGTAGCAGTCAGTGAGATCAGCCTGTCAGGTAGTAGAATTTTACTTTCCAACATGTTTACATGCATAGACTTAAGGCAGAAGAGTATTTCCTTGTCTTTCCTGTGTGCCAGGGATCAGGAAGGATGTTCATACTTACTAAAAATTCTCAGTTGTCTGGAGTAAAGAAAGGAAATGGGCTCTGTATTTTTTTTTTTTTTTACTATATTTTATCACTATTGAGCAACATGTAACTCCAGGAAGATTAATGTAATCCATCACATTCATTCTCATGTTCTTTGGATTAACAAATTTAGCTAAAATCCAATTTCATAGTCCAATTTTATTTCAACTCCAGGAATTTGCAAGGTTATATATCTCTTTTAATCTTGTCATGGAATTTTACATTTTGAATTTTGATGGTAATACTAATTTTATTTTGGTGTTCACTATTGCGCTTTTTTTTTTTTTTTTTTTTTTTTTTTAAATACATACATACTGATATGCCAAGTATGATAGTATTCCTGACTGGGAGGATATAGTATACCTGTACTAGTCTGAGTCAAGCAATGATGTGGTTTAATGTGCACACATTTAGGATCCTAATTTTTGCATTTTATTATACTAGAAAATCATGGGCTCATTTTTATCTGAAGATTAATTTGTGTCAAGATCTAATTGGATTGAAATCAGAATTCAATTACAATGCACAAATAGCTTTAAATTTTTTTATTAGTTATCTATCCAGACTGTTGGTGGTAGTTTTACTTAAAGCTTAAGAAAATATTTTTTACTGAAAACTGAGTATTAAAAATCCACCTATACTTAGGGAAGGGAACAGATTGTTTCTGTTTGTTTATGTCTTTCAGTATTTTAAACTTAATTAATTTACATTCTCACACCTTATTTTTCTTAATGTTTTGTAAAATAACAATGTGCTTTCCTGGTTTTTCAGCTCCTAGTTGATTTCTCAGCTTTCAGTGCACAAGTCTTTGAACTGAACTAGTTTAATAAACCAAAATGTCTCCCTGTACTGAGAAAAACGACTCCTGTTGTCAAAATAAGGTTCTTGTTTTAACAAGCCATGAATCTAGAAGTTTGGGCCACGGGGTGTATAGATTTAGTGGTTTGATATAAAGTGCCAGCTGAGAATCTGTTCTACTTGATCTTTTCAAGTAGAATTTTAAACAGATTACTTAAAAAAAAAAACATCCAAAGAGAATATGCTTCTGCACTCCAGCTGCTCTGGTTTAGAGTCCAACATAAGTTTAAACTACCTATACTGGTATCTATTTATGATCTTGGACTCGATGGTCTTGGAGGTCTTTTCCAACCCAATCTATTCTATGATTCTATGATTCTATTTCTACATGTCCTCTGACAGCAGCAGTGGCTATTGACTGATGAAAGGAGCACGTACTGAGTAGGTTGCATGTATACATATTATTCTGAAAATAATGTAATCTCCATCACACTATTGCTGGAAGTTATGTGTTCATAATTTCATTATATTCTTTCTGTCTGATGAGCTAATTCTAGTTTGTTTCTTTCCCCTCCCTTGTAGAGCATGAGAATAGACTTAGGAAACCCATTGCACATTAAAACTCTTGATTTGGTAAAAAAATAATTAGAATTAGTGTGCAGGGATTAAGGTAATAAATGGTACAAATCCTGCAGACCCCTGACTTGTAAAACCAGCCCAGGACTGACCACTTCAGTGTCTCTTCAGCTATTCATAAAGAAGATTAAACTGGTTCTTACCAAGGGAGAGGGCCTGTTCAGGTTTTCTTAAAGTGCAGCCTGCATTCTTCTGTGCTATTCGTCACCTGCCAGGTCATCCTCTTGCATGGTCGTAAAACTGTTAACTGAATTTAGCTTTTTTTCCTGTCTGTTCATAAATCTGTACTGCCAAACAGTTAATAGCAGGACCCAGCAGTGAATAGCCATGGAGTAATCCCAGCAGATGGATGGCTGTCTCTCTGCTTCATAGTGAAATGTCTGTACTCCTGAACAAGGAGTGCCTGCATCGTACTGTGAGCCCCCTCTTCCTTCCTTCTGTGTTCCACTTTTGTCCAGAGATCCTTGCTGCTTCCAGGCTGGGTACCCCCAGTGAGTATGTAACACTGGTGTCCTTTTTTTTTTGCTCTTCCTTTTTTCCTCTTTGAATTCTCTGATTGAATGCCTGGAGCCCTTTTCAGTTAGCTATTCAGTCAGCTGCTTTCCCTTAAGTTTTTCCCCTAGGTGTGTTTAAAGAGTGATTTGAAGGAAATTAGGCTGGTGAGTCTTGTTCTTTTTATGATGAATAAATGCCTACCATTCACGAAAAAGTGTTCTCCCCTCTCTCCCCAGGGAAAAAGATTGCATCCTCAGCTATGATTCCTAGCAGAGGGCCCTTCGGAGAAGTCAAAAAGAGACAGGGAGCTTTCACCATCCTTCATAACGGAGTTGCTGAAGCCCTTTCTCCTGAACAGGAAAAAACTCTTTATGGCCTTTTTTTACTCTCGCCTGCGCTTGGAGCAAAGTTAGAGCTCTGCGCCTCTGCTCCCGATGAGAAGCGGGAGGGAGCTCTCCCTTTCCCTGCAGCGCCTCGGGGAGGGTTTCCACGCGGCAGCTCCCGAGGCTCCTCCTGCCGTTCTGCCGCTGGCCACGGGGCGGCGCCGCAACACCACGGTTGGCGCCGCGGGGTGTCCCCGGGAGCGCGGCGGGAAGGGGTGGGGGCTCTGCCCTCGGGGGAGCTCCGCGAACCCTGCCGAGAGCCGGCTGGGAGGCAGGGCTGGCGGAGGGAGCACCGCCAGCTGCTCATGGCTCAGCCGCTGGGCTTTGGCCGCTTCCTGGGACTGCGGTCCCACGGCTGCCCGCGCTTCCCCGCTCTGCTCCCTGCGGCGTCGAGCCCGGGCTAAGGGAATGCTGCGAGCTCCAGCTGCAGCCCTTCATTTGTACTGGGTTACTTACCCGGCGACCGAGAGGAGAGAAGCTGAATGGGATAGCGTGTCTTCCCCTCGGGAGTTTGTCACGTTGTCCCACACTGTACTCGGGCACTTCCCTCATCACCACCATCCCGCAGGATACTGCCACCTCCTGCCAGCCTCTTCTGCGCGTCTGTGTCGCCGTGCCGCATTTCAAAATTCCTCAGAAATCTGGAAGAACTTTTCAAAGTCACATCTTAAAACAATCTTCCTTTTCATCTGAGAATAGCAGACACTCAATGAAGGTCAATCCAGGCTTCCAAGGGATTGAAACAACTACACAAGTATTTCATGTCACTCATGGCACAGACTCATTGACTGGTTGCTGATACATGTCTGGCCTGTATCACTCCTGTAGCTCTACAGTTGAGAGAGCCTGATTCTGCACTGTGTCTTAATGTAACAGAACGTTTAAATGTTGGCTACTTTGGGGACCATTGCATGCTGAAATGTGCAGTGGAGACCTTTGAAAACCACTGTCTTGTAATTTCCTTCCATTGTATGTATGGCCAGTCTCTTCGCGAACGAAGAACCGGGGAAGGTCTTTCCACCTTCCAGCCTGCGCATTGGATTTTTTAGGTGAGACACAGTGTGCGCGGAACTGAGCCCACCCTTTAATCCTGAGGTTCATCTGCCGGGGCCAAGCACGCTTGGACGGTGGCAGCAAGGTCCTCAGGATGTAGATGGATTGCCTTTACGGGCTAACGAGCTCCATCTGCCCGGGGAGGGGCCCCGACCGGGACTCGAACCCGGGTCTCAGCGTTCACAGCGCTGTGCTTTAACCACTTCACCACCAGGGGCTCCCAATTTCCCTCCATTAAAGGCCACCAATTTGCTAAATAGAGTGCCTGCTGCCATCAGCTTAGTGTACAGTAGCCAGCTCAGTGGCGAGGCAGGAGGAGATACTGATGGATGGTCATGTTAGGCAAGGTGTCAAGGGAATCCTTGATTACAGTTTGATCCTTTAGCTGTGTAACAGAGGTAGGGAATTGATCAGGCCTTCACACTTGATGGAGGTTATCTAGAAGACAAGCTAACATAAAATGTATTGATAAAAAGTCTTTCTATTGCACAAAAAAATTTGGGGTGCTCAGGCTCCCCAGCTGATGCTCTGTCTCCAGTGACATTGACCAGAGGGTGCAGCTCAGAACATTGTGTTCCTGCTTGTGCTGATGAACAGGCTGAGCTCAGAGCCAGCCCAGTATACTCCTTGCCTCCTCAGACCTGAGCTGCTCCGTGAATCATGAGGGAGTATGGAGGCACTTAGGAACAAACACATCCCTGGACACTAGTGGAGAGCGTGAAAAATAGACGGCATGTTAGTGAGAAAGCAGCTTGTAATTGTGGGAGTTTCTGCACTGAAAAGCACGTACTCATGGGTACTTACAGAGAAGCTGACACTCAAGCAAGCTTGTGAGTGCCTTCCTGTACCTTGTCAAAGTAGCCCTGTCTGCTCTATGTCTTGCTTTCTGCCTCAGTGGAAGTTTTGGTTCCCAAACCCTTGCTGTACAGCCATATAGTCACAGATGGGCATGGAAATGCTGAGTATTCAGTTGCAAAAGAGTAGCAGAATTCCTTCATCTCTTGATGAAACTGTCAAAAGCTGCAGAGACTACAGAACTGAGAAGCAGGAAGGGCAGTTTGTGGCTTCAATCCTCGTACAGGAGCTATCTCATGACACCAGTTTTTGTAGTTTTGAGGGCCTCCCCTTAGATGAGTAAATTGAGAAACATGGTGAGAGGTTGGAGTCCAGAGTATAGGTCTCTATTCAAGGGATAAATCTCACAGGAAAATCTTTTGCTGCCTGGTGCATGAATCCTGATACCCTCCAGTCCTGTAGTATCTTCTCAGAGCACCCCAAAGTACTTAGCTATATTTTGAAATGTCTCACTGTCCTACAAGTTGGTTCAGAGTCTAAAGTCCTGACTGACTGATGGGGGCCCCAAGGCGTAGAACTGGATTACATGATTGTTACAAGGTCATACTAGTTTATCAGCTCCCATTTGCTGTCTTAAAACTTTAAAGGTTTTACAAAGCTTCAGAGCTTAAATCCCTTTTCAATTCTCTGGCTCTGTGATTTTTGCCTTTTTTTTTAATTAATCAATTTATTTATTTAATGTAAACCAATTAAATCTCTTCTGGGCAGGCTTCTCTGTAGAAGATCAGACTCATGATGGGAAGAGACTTCCAAAGCTGTACATGCTAGACAAAAATCCTGCTCAGTCGTGTGTAGTTTATTTAACCTCTGCAGAACCTGACACATGTGAAAAATATTTTTGCCCTATATCTGAAAAGAACAGTGTGCTTGTGTACCACATGAGGATCCATAGGCCTTTCTGGTCCATTGGTTACCATTAGTTACCACAAGTGAGTGTTAAACAACATTCAAAGGGAGAAAATCCTTTTAAATCAATGAATTATGGGTCTTAGGAAATCTCTGAATTACTGATACTAGTTTTTGTTCCATTTGGCCATTTCTTCACTATTTCAAGGACTGTGAGATCACCTGGAGAAGATTCATCCTGGATAGGGAGGACAGCTAGGAGGGCTGTAATTTCCTATTGCTATTGCTTGGTGGGGACTACATCACTACACACCTCCTCTTCTTCACTTTTCCAATTCCCAGCCATGCTGTGACTGCATCCTGCCCTGCCTTTGTATACCAAAAGTCAAAAAAGAACAGGGGAGTAATGGAAAATCTGATATGGAAGTCAGTTGCTAAAGAATAGGGATGTAATTAATGCCAGTCAACATAATTTTATGGAAACTAGGTCTTGTCAAACAAACTTGATCTCGATAACGTAATCTCAAAGAATGGATTGTTAAAGGCAATTGTATAGATGTGATGTACTTATACTTTCATAAAGCATTTGACTGAGTACTGCATGATAGTCTGGCTAAAATTTTAGTATTACACGATATCAGTAAAGTGCCTGTTAAATGGATTAGGAACTGGTTAGTGAAGAGAGCGCAAAGGCATCATTTGTGGGAAGTATCACTGAATGAGAGTGTGTCCAGGGGATTTGGCAAGAGCTGATATCAAGTTCACTCTATTCAACAGGTTTGCCCATGACTTGGAAGTAACTTTAAGCCATAGCTGAGTGTTAAGTTTTGCAATGTCAGAAGATAGGATAATAAATAATGAGAAAAAACTATAATATAAAGTGATTAGCATCACAA